GATCTGGTTGTATTGCAAGTGCCTTGAGATGACACATGTTGTTCATTGATGCTTTATATATAAACTGAATTGAAAGATTGTTCTCTAAGAAATGTTACACACTTTACAAAGATTTTATTATACACCAATCATGAACAATTTCAAAGAAACTTTAATGGGGAAAAGAAAAACAAGAAAACCATTTGCCATAAATCAGATTATATTGCTAACTGTAGTTATGGTGACATATTCACATGACATGACGCTTCATGAAATGTGTGGTTTGTTGAAGCAATTTGCCCAAATGGTTAAACTTCTCATCAGGCTTCATCTCACCATCATGACTAACCTTTTTTAAGAGTTGATTCTTTTTTTTTCTTTATTTGAAGCAAAAACTTTCCACACATTTATAAAGAAAAGTCAACCTAAAGCATCTGTCAGTTTAGAATGACTAGTCAAAACATTACTTTGTTTCAATTTTCTGGCAAAAAACCCCTCAGTGTTTCAAAAAAATCAAAACCACATTTCCTTTTTTGTCCCCACATTTACTGCATCCTTCAACTCAACAATAATTATTTATTATTTCAGGTTAAATCCTCTTTACCTTGGTAAAGACAATTTTTAATATTTACCATAATTATTAGTATTATTCACATATGTGTTAGGCGGGCTTACTTCAGTTCCCCTTGCACTCTTGAAAAAATAAAAAATAACAGCTTTGTTAAAGGTATTTCCCCAGCTTTCATCACAGTTTACACACTGGGTAAAATAAGTATTGAACACACCATTTTCTCAGTAAATATATTTCTAAAGGGGCTGTTGACATGACATTTTCACCAGATGTGGGTAACAATCCATGCAGTCCACACAAATAAAGACATAAAACCATAGATGTTCAGAAATTAAGTTATGTGTAATAATGTGGAACGGCACAGGGAAAAATTATTGAACATGTGAAGAAAGAGAGGTGCAAAAGGCATGGAAAGCTATGACAACAGCCGAAATCTCTTAGTAATTAGAAAACAATACTGCCCCTTGTCATTGCAAATTAATTATTTTCATTTAATTAAAAGTCTCACATAGTGTGCGTCCTTTAAAATAGAAAAACCTGTCACTGTTTGACACTCAACAGGCTCCATTTCAGACTTGACTCAGTTCAAACACTTGTAAATCAGAAACCACACTTAGTTCAGAACTGTAATTCGCCACGTATACATAGCATATAAATAATTGCACATGCAAAACTTCAGCTAGATCAGACAACTGGAAATGGTCCAGGGGCGTTACTTATTGAACGCCCCTCGTATCAGCTTGTTCAGTCCCACATGGTGGCCTATAAAATGGTGTCGCTGGTATCACACAAAAAACATCTCATAATGGGTAAAAGTAAAGAGTTTTTTCAAGACCTCTGCAACCTTAATGATGGCATTCGTTACAGAAGGATTTCTAAACTTCTGAATGTTCCAGTGAGCACTGTTGGGGCCATAATCTGGAAGTTCGAAGAATATAATTTCACCATGAGGCGACCACAACCAGGTGCTCCTCCCAGATTTCTGACAGAGAACTGAAAAGAATTATCAGAAGAGCTGTCCAAGAGCCAAAGGCACTTGTGGAGAGCTTCAGAAGGACCTCGATTTAGCAGGTTCAATTGTTTCAAAGAAAACAATAAGTAATGCACTCAACCGCCATGGCCTGTATGCATGCTCACCGTAAAAGACCCATTGCTGAAAAAAAAAAAACATGTTGAAGCTCAGATGAGACCAAAATTAAACTCTTTGGATGCCACATTACACATGATGTTTGAAGGTCAAATGGCACTACACATCAGTCCAAAAATACCACACCAACAGGGAAGTTTGGAGGTGGAAACATCATGGTGTGGGCCTGTTTTTCAGCATATGGTACTGGCAAATTTCAAATAACTTAAGGAGGAATGCAAAAATGTACAGAGACATTCATGATAAAAAAAAATCTGCAGTCATCTACTAGGATAATAAAGATGAAACGTGAGTGGACATTTCAGCAAGACAATGACCCCAAACACACAGCCAAGGAAATGCTCAATTGGTTTTAAGAGAAAGACAATAAAGCTGCTAGAATGGCCCAACAAATCACCTAACTTAAACAGAAAATCTATGGAAAGAACTAAAGATCAGAGTTCATAGAAGAGGCCTTCTTAGTGGAAGAATGGGCCAAAATCACACCTGAGAAATGTCAGTGATTAATTTCTCCATAGAGGAGTCGTCTTGAAGCTGTCATTGCCAACAAAGGCTTTTGTACAAAGTATTAAATACATTTCAGTGTGTTCAATACTTTCCCTGCGCCATTTCTCTTTATTACACATAACTTAATTTCTGGACATCTATGGTGTGATTTCTTTGTTTGTGTGGATCACAAGAATTGTTATCGACATCTGGTAAAAATGTCATGTCAATAGCAGGGGGATGAAAGTCAACATGACTTTTTGCAAAAGCATGTCTATAAGCAGAGTTTTCTCACTGAAGGTGATTACTCTGTTTTACTGCATGTGCTTTGATTTTCTGATTAAATCTAATTTTGCAGTAGTACGGTTGTATATTGGACAGTCAAGGCTGCAGGAAAAGCATGTTAGTATAAAACTGTCCTCAGCTATTTATTAAATGAGCCCAGACTCTCAAGACAATTTCAAAATAAAGAAAGCATGTTCAATTACACATATGTGAGAATATGGAGTAGTATCTGATCCTTGGGACCAAGAATGGACTCCAATGGGAGTCCCACAAGTTGGAATATATACCTTTGAAAATTCCCAAGTATCAGAGGGAACTAGAACGTGCAGATCCTTAATAATTAGTTATTATTTAAAAGGACAGTTCTGCTGTGAGAAACCCTCTGGAGATGATTTAACAAAAGAGATGTCTTCTTTAAATAAAGAACATCACTGACAAAAGTGAGCATCATCCTCATCATCTGTCATATCACAACAAAGAGTCATTATGCTTTAAAAATCACCTAAGCAGTATTTATAAAAAATTTATTTAGGATTATTTAGGATTTTTTTCCCCCTGTTGAACTTCACTTGAAAGTTAAGATCTAAACCAGTCTGAAACAAGGTAACCCAACAAAAACCAAGTCACTCTGACGCATGATTATGCGAGAGCATGACACCTGATTAATCATGAGCAAAACGTCCTGATCTGATGTTACACAATTGTAAGTAGAACATGGTGTTAAATCCTTCAGTCACAATGGTGTCATCCCACTGTGGAAAGGTTTCTGTCCGCTTCAAAATAATGACATTTCAATTGAAAAAGAAATTAGAGGAGGATTCAGGAAACCAAATGTATCACAGGATCCGAACCAGCTGGTTAATGTTGTGGGGTTCAGTTCCGATCCCATGAGACTGATGTTAAAATCATATGTAAAAAAAAAAAAAGTAGCCAGTGGTTTATTATTAAAAAATAAATTATATTCAACAGACTCATTAAAGAAAAAGCAGAAATATACCAAATAGACCCACGGAAAGCATTAACAGATTCTCACAAAAACTTTCATTTTCATTTTTGTGTTTAGTTGTAATAATGCTTGACTTTTTCTGTAATAGTACTAGTTTAGTCCGCTGAATTTTTAAAAAGAATTAAAATAAATAAAAAAAAACTTAAACCTAGCCATTATAAGTAGGTGTACACAGAATGGAAAACAATATAACCAGGTGTAATTCAAAAGTTTATTAAACAGAAACTTCTTTAAATCGATTATAATTATATTAATCATGCATAAACAAGTAAAAAAAAAAAAGGCGTAAAACCTCAAACTCTGTAAATAGTATAATAAATGTCATAAAATGCAACATACAGCACATAGCAAGTGTCATGCATGCCAAGATAAATAATAAACTTGGTAGTGTGTTTCATGATTTGTATGAGCAATAAATCACCTGCTGAGTTGTTTGGCATTTTAAAGGAAGGCTGGTTAAACAAGACCAGCCTCTTTCTGTGGGATTTTCAGCATGAAGTCTTTATCTATAGCACTGCATATACATAAAGCAAAGAAGTATGTCAGGACAGGTGCTCTCATCAGGCAGTTTATAGCTTAATACTCAGATTAGCTCTAAACACACTGCAAAAACAACAAAGATATACTTTTCACATGGTTTAAATTATCAAGGGAAATCTATATAAAAAAAAGCATCCATAGGCTGATGTCTGGATCTGATGTTTATAGCTTAAAAAAGGCAGCATTTACAATTAGTCAAATTTTGTCGTACTTCCAACTTATTCTCAGAACTCATATGCTGTAAAATTATTATCTTCTGGATTAATTTCACCTGGGTAGTGAAAACCAAAGATATGAATTATACTGTGGAACAAATTAAAATTATATTTTGAGTTGAATAAAAAAAAAAGAGCCCTAACTATCAATTGCAGTGAAATATGTGATGAAAGAAATTATTGCATCCTGTTGGTTTAATTTCATCTGCACTATAAGTTTATATGATGAGTTTAAGACCTTAAAGCCATATGTCCGAAAGAGCATTTTTAAACTAAAAATGTTAACTTAGTGATGATGTTTAATAGCAGTTTTAAAAAGGTATTTTATTCTAAATGTATTTACATGAATAAGAGTCAAATGAAGAATCAATGCAATACTAAACATAGTGAAGGTTTGGGATTTTAAAGTGTGCTTTCTAGCGACATTAGGTATTTCTTTTCACAGTAAACAGGTTTTATATTATGTGGGATTGTTTTACACACCACCAAGTGCCACTGCTGCACATTTTAGAGAAAAACAAGATTGAAAAAGGAAAACTGGAAAAAAAAAAGATGGCTGAAGTGGCAACGAGTATGAGAAAGGGAAGATTTTACACCATTTACAGCTGAGCTGAAAACAGACTCAATATTTCACTGTTAACCACGATAACCCACTGAATGGATACAGAGCATTTCAACTGAAATATTGGGAATACAAGGAATGATTCAATCAGCATTACAAAAAAGGAGTTATGGAATAATTATAATAATAACCATGTTTTTGGAGGCTGGTAACATTTATCCTTTAAGCTTAACTTATAGAAAGAAAAAAAACACATCCCAGGTCAAATGGTAACTAGAGAGCACCTTTACCTACAGAAGAGTTTAGCAGAAAGAAAATAAAACAACTATGCAACACAGAGGAGTTCATTGGAAATCCAAAATAAATGGTGCACCTGTGAAGATCATGTCGAGTGTCGGTATGGATCAAAACTTTAATAAAAATGGTTTTAAAACCAAAAAAACGAACATAAAAACTATATTGCAATCACTCAAAAAAAATGCCTCTAGATTTCTTTTTCAGCGAGGCTGTAAATTCATTCTTGAAAAAGAAGGGTTAAGCACTGAAAACAGAAACTGAGGATTATTCTGTAGTTTTCTGGGGAAACCCTACATATACCGGTAGATGGACCCAATTAATGTGTTTATATGTTGAGGAGGAAAGCCTTTGTACGTCTTTAAAGTTAATGCTTAGTGTTCAGAACTAATATATTAGCAAAATTAGAAAAGGAATGGCTTCATTAGTTGACACTGACAAAGTAATTACAATATTCTTTCACTTTTTACAGCTGACTGTTTTAGGCAGGAAATGGTGTTTTTCTCCAACTTACCACAAGAGGGCGCCTCTTCCTTCCTTTTGATAAGATGCCCTGAGATTTTGCAGCTATAAAAAAACCCCCAAAAACTTTGATTTGTTGTTCACTTTAAGCCAAAATGTGGTAGAAGGTTTTCTTTACACTCTAAGAATGTGCATTACAGTCACATGGTACAAACTGCTCAGAGGTAGCATCATTAGATGGTACATTTAATTACTACAGCTTTCTTCCGTGATTAGAGTAAAATTGAAATTCTTTGTTTTCTGTTCTTTTATATATTGGTCTTTTTTAAGTTCCTTGCACAAGAGCACTATTATAGCTTTGAAAAAATTCCAAGAGGGATTCTGGTTGGACATAACGTTTGAAGGACCCATATAAAAAGAAGTGGAGCCTATTATGCAAAATCAGGCCCAAAAAGAGAAAGCTGATTGCATCTTTTAGAGTAATTTGTATTTCACCGGTCAGGGAGTGAGTAGTGTTAGGTATCCATCATATCTGTAGAATATTTTGTGTAGTTGTTCTGTACCACTTTTAAATCCGAATCAAATTTCCCAGAATTCTCAGTCACGCTACAAAAAGCTTGATTTCAAACCACTCTCAACCGGGCAGAGGGGTGCTTGCGTCTATAGCCAGGTGAGGAGGCTGTCCCTGTCCATGTGTGGCCCGGACAGAACCGTGTCCATGTCCATCAAGATGTCTGAAGTCAAACCGTCGGGGATGCCGGGCATCAGCTCCTCGTTGATCGGGAGCACAGGCATCGGCTCCTGCAGGCTCATGGAGGGGGGGTCACTAGAGTCACCTAAACATGTCAGGTGGAGAAAGAACAGATTTTTAACATCTTTTACTGTATTTTGCTTTTAATCACGAGGCATTGTGGCTTTTTTTATTTTTACAAGAGCCTCTACAACTAATGTGCATCTAAGTATAGAATGAGCAAGACAAGAAAAACAAGGTTGGTCTAATGACTTTTTCCATCACTTTCTACAAAAAAGCGAAGAATATTAATGACATGGTTGAAAGAGTTTGTATAAATGTTTGACGGACAACTTTTAGGGAAACATTACCAGTGTCCATATGATCCACAGAGCCCAACATGTGGTCAGATGTGCGTGGCAGGCTGCTGACGCTCAGACCGCTATCGGTGCTTTCGTTGCGAGAGTGAGCCCTGTGTGAGAAAACAAATTACAACCCTAATTAAAGGAGATGAGTCAATATAACATCTCATGTTCAGAAGGCATTTCAAACGGTTTGAAGTTACACTGATGCTTCGTATTGATTTCAGATGATCGAGCTTGGATCTGTGAAGGATGCGACACCATAATTCCAGTTGCAAGGTGGCAAAAACTGTGGTTTTACTACATTTGTGCTGAGCGACACTTAAAATCACATTGTATAACACTTAATGCATCCAAACACTAAATAAACATTGTCCTAATAGATAGAAAAGGCATATTAATTTAGGAACTTCTACATTATGATCTAATATATGGTTGCAATATTGGATTCTGTACTTTTAACTATTAATAATGCATCCCTTTTAGGATTTTAACTTCAGTTCATTTTTCTAATTTCAAATATAGAAATCTGAGCAACCAATGAAGCAGACTAATGGGCAACAATAACATCCTACTGACATTATAAGCAAGACACTTTAAATAATACTTTTTTTTTTAACCCCTTATGGTTAAAACAAGTCAAACTATTTTGGTCTATAAAATGTAAATAATTTGAATATTTTAGAAAGAGTTTTAGGAAATTACCAACAACACCTTACCTTACAGATAAGCATCATCACAACTATTATAACACCTATAAGGTACCGGCTAACTTTGATCTGTAAATTGCAAGCTATAACTAAAGATTTTGTTTATTTACTGGGGAGTTTCCTTGGTTTGGTTCTTACTTCAGGAAATCAGAAAATGCAGTTAATAGTCACATTTTCCTTTCAATGTTAATTGAAAAATATGTTGTAAAATATTAGCAATAGATCAGTTTAATTAAGTCCTAATCTTTAATGAACTTCTATTGTTTTAGTACTTCATAATTACCCATTAAGGTTTGGTTCTTGGTTCAGGGCCCTGATCCTGACATCCACCGATGGGACAAGCATCTGTGCACTCCTGTCATGGTCCATCCCTCCAGGCATCTGGTTGCTACTTCCGGCCTCCTGCACCCAAACATGTGCTTAATTTCACTCCTCAGGAGATGAGCATGCAACACTGTGTGCAAACATTGCAGGTTTGCAGGATCTCTGACCTGAGGTGCAAACTGAGGCAGGATGCCTTGCTTCTGTCTGAGCTTTTCCTGCCTTTGCTGCATTGCCAAACTGAGCATGGTAGGGTTTGCCTTCTGAGCTAAAACACAGAAATCAGAAAAGAAATATGAGATAACTTTTTTAAAAATTCAACACGATTCATACTTTAAGATAATTAATTAATAAAAAAAAATGTCTCCAACACTTTGAGGTCCTTGGTTTTTGCTCTGCTGTTGCCAAACAATAAGCTGGTTCTTGATAGCGCACATTGGAACACAATGTTTCTCATTGACAATTGTCAACTCAGGAGGCACAAAATCTGTTATAGTGTGCTACCTAGACGTGGGTCGTCCCATGTGGTGGTCTTATTTATGTGATCAATGTAGTACATCTCTCCATCTGCAGTCACAGCCTGCTCCCAGCCTTCAGGCAGTGGACCTGAACAGCAGTAAAAGTACACAGTGAGAAGGCGAATAATCGATGGAGCCAATGGAGTGAATGAGAGGGAAAAAAAAATGTTTGTAGTTTGCAGATTTTAAAGGAGGGAGAAAAAGTGAGTTATAGCTTTATTTCATATACTATATAAAAAAAAACTACTGTATGTGCATTTTTTTACCTAACTTCAGTGTGTGTAAATCAATGTCCATGCAAATATGCTTCCTAAAGGGTCTGGTCAGCCAAATCACACTATAAAAATTTTACCTCTTATAAGAAACAGTGTCTCCAATGTCAGGAACATTTTATCAGTGGATTAGTTAATTACTTAGAATAAGGCCTTTGAGTATCTGAGGGATTTCCTGTTGTCTAATTAACCATTACCTGTTTTCTACCATGTGTTAACAGACATATTTGACACTTTGAATAGCCTTAAGATGAATCTTTATCATTCATGAATCATATTTATAACAGATGTTTATACTTATATATTAATTCTAGATATTTTCTATTCATAGTATAATGTTATAAAGTATAAATAAACTGTAAAAGTGCGGAAAGCTTGAGTTCCTTTAAATCAAGACTAAAAACACATTTGTTTAGGATTGCCTTCGACTGTTCTAGTTAAACAGTTCAGCTGAAACATCATTAGTTCAACCTTTTTTTTATTTTCTTTAATCCAATTGTTTTTAATGTTCTGTTTTGTTTCTGCATTTTTATTTTATTTTCTTTCCTACTTGTTTTGATTCTGTTTTATTTTCCTATATTTTAATCATGCAAAGCACTTTGCATTGTCTTTGTACTGAATTGTGCTATACAAATAAATTTGCCTTGCCTAAATTCTCATGTTTTATTGAATCTTCCTCAGGAGTCAAATTCTTTTGTCAGATTAAACATAGCCAAAAATTCACTGAGTAAGTAACAAGGTTAGAAGAGAATGGGGAAATAAAGAGCAACCAAAACAGATATAATTAAGGCTGAAACAATTAATCGGATTAATCAAGATTAATTGATTACAGAAACAATCATCAACTAATTTAGTAATTGATTACTGGTTAAATGGAGTATAAAGACTGTAAAACACACCTTTAGTTGAAAGAACGACCCACTTAGAGCAGTAATTATACTAAAATTGCACAAAAATAAATTAATATTTTGCATTTAAGATATTAAAAAAACAACAACCTTTTTTGTCTGTCAAAATGCTCATTCTATAACTCCTGAAGTGGAAATGTTTTAGTTTTAACTAGTTTAATTTCATTAAAAAAATCCTCCAATAAACAATAGATATCTGATTAATTGAAAAAAATTATCAACAGATTAATCAATTTGCAAAATAATCGTTATTTGCAGACCTGGCTATAATAATAACCTATATAGATACTAAATAATAAAGTGGAGACAGAGAGAACATGTCTTTCATCTTGCCTATAAGAGCTGCAGGACTGGACGTAAAGCAATGACCTATCAGACACACTCGCATGGTGGAGACATAGATTATTGAGATATCACTGAGGTATAAGAAGAGGAGAAATGTTTTTCTTTGATCATTCCTATTTGATGCGGAAATCAAAATTAGCCCAGTGCGTTAAAACTCTGAATACAAATTGCCTTTTTAACTTAGATTAAGTCATGTTTAAGTCCTGTCTGAGAGTCATTTAATATAATATAATATAAAAAGAACTGGGAATAAGGCCAGTGTGTCTCAAACAGCAACTTCAATCTAATCTGCTTGGAAATTGTTTATTTTTTCATTTTTATGGAAACATCCAGAAGAGCTATTGATCCTAAAGCAGTCAGGGTTGAGAAGACGAAGGATGCCTTTCCTTTTTCACAGCCTGCTGCAAACAAAACTCTGAGGCGGCACTGACATTTTTTCACCCATTCTCAATCAAATAGTTAACACATTGCAGAGTTTAAAAACATGAAATGAATGAGCCTAAACTGAAGTCATTTATATTAGAAGTGTGAAGTGACAAACAACAATCACTAAGGAATCTAGGTGTGAATGATCTAATGTCGACACTTTAGGCAAAGGTGGCCCAAATCCAACTTTTTAGTTGTCAATCACAACCAAGCCGCTTTTATAAATAACTCTAAATTGTTTCCCTATCTGATGTCGTTATAAATGAGCTCGACCTGAATAATGGTGTTGCCTTTCATTTCACTTTGAGGTTAATGGCGTGCGACAAACGTCTACATTTTATTGGAAAGGAACTGTTTAGATCAAATGTAAAACATGTTGATGAATTTGGCCAAAATTTCACAAGGATTTCAGAATCAATACAAAGATATTGAAATGTCTTCTTTAAACAAAGCTGTAGACTGTTTAAGCCATAGTCTGATTGTGCTTTAATTTAAGTTAGAATGTGAACAATAATACAAACAAAAAAATACCTGCAAAATAAAATAAATTATTCCTTTTAAACTATGCCTACTGTAAAACAGTATGATGTGACCTGCTCTGAACACTGTATGCCAAGAAAGGTAAAGCTGAAACAACAGTTTTAAAGTAGAAAAACTGTTTTAAAGTAATGTACCTTTTAATTTTGCTTTTCCCCTATTAGAGAAATTTTTTTTCTTCAGTTATACTAAAAACCATTATGGGTTTAACAAGGATTAGAATAAAGAGGTGAAATAACAACGAAGGGAAAAACCCGTTTGAGCTTTTCTAAGCAACCGATTGCCACCTAAATATAGACCTTAAAGGTGTAACTGTAGTCACTGATCACATGTTGCATCATCAAAAGCTGCAGTGCAGTTCTGGTTGGTTCTTCAAGAGAGATAAAATCTGGATAAACTAACCTTTAAATATTCATATTAGCTATGAATTGAAAAAAAAAAAAAAAAACTGATGGTACCTGTGAGTAAATATGAAATATCTGGTGTTCAGCTGAAAACTGATATGTTTATCTCAACTACTTTAAGAGTTTATACCCTGAGCAAACAGTCCTCAAAGAGACACCACAGGAACCTACAGTCTGGTTGTTTCAAGCAGGTGTATCAGTATGAGCAACCAAAAGGGAATCCCAAAGGAATAACACCCGACAGCACTGCAGTGTGATACCTGTCTCAGGAATAACATTTTTTGGTTGCGTAGTGGGCGCTGGGTTGCTGAAGGAGTGGGCGTGGATCGGGGTGCAGGCGATCTGATGCTGGGCTGCAGCCGACTGAAGCTGCGAGAGGCGGGGGTCCTGCCATGTGGTCGTCTTGTGTACGTGGCTGAAAAACACGCAGCAAAGCCATGAATAAGAGCGCATCGGTTAAACTGCTGCAACCGGAAGGGCGAGGAGCGCCCTGCCTCAGACCTGCCTTACCTGTACTACCAGATGTGCTTGAACATCTATACTTCTTCAGACAATCTCAGGCTTTTTAAGGAGCAGAAAGTCATCGGGAAACGTGGGCTTATGAAGGTGAAACTCATGCAAAATGTCCTATTGCATGAGTTTCAACTCAGCTACTTAAAACTTATTGTTTTACTTTAAAACAAACAAACCAAAAATTTCTTGTGGGAAAATAAAAAGTGTCAGAAAGAAAACTTTATTTTCTTGGGACGGTTTAAATGAAATCCAAACTGGACATAGAATCATTAATTAGCTTATAATCTTGAAAGGTTGCTCTTCCAAAATGTGCTGATTCAGAATCTGTGTTGCGTAACCTGCCTCGGGAAACTGTCATCCGCCACAGAAACTAAAGAAAACCTGCAGAGCCAGAGATGCAACTCAGTGATAAACCGGGAGGAAGCCCTTACTTGATGAAGTACCGTTGGCCAGTGGACGTCTTTGCCATCTCCCAACCGTCAGGGAGTGGCACGTCATCGGGTATGAGCGGCGTGGCTGCTGCATCTGCATCCACTTGAGCGGAGAGGGAGTTGACTGGGAGGGAGGCGGGGGAGGAATGAGCGCGGACGTGATGAGGAGTGAGGGAGCCGCACACGCCTCCGTCTGAACTGGCCTGACGAGAAAAGAGCAGGGTTAGCAAGTCTGCAGCTGAGTGACAAACAGAAATCTGAAACAAACTGAGAAAGAAAAAAAAACAACAACAAAAAGGTTTAGATGGAAAGGTTACTGCTGCAGTGCTGCCTCTCTCTCACGCACACAAGTTACAGATCTTTTCCTCCTATATCTAATACAAACTTTAACCAGAAAAACACCAGAGCATAATGCTGCCACTGCCATGTTTCACTGTGGCAATGCCATTAGCTTTGGTGATGCATAGTTAAATAGGAAGTTAAGTTTTATCAAACACTCCAGGTTTCTTTAGACTTTGATGCTTTTTATTTTTTTTTAAAGAAAAGGATTTTGTCTAACAAACCAACTGCTTCATCCAACATTTTTAGAATACAGGACAAACACACACGTGAAGCACATCCAACAGAAATTCCCGCAGCTCCTACTACGTTGCCCTCTTGCTCCTGACACCATCTCTGAAAACTTTCCATCTTGTCTTTCCATCAGTTCAGGACAATCATACCATTTGTGTGATGTCACTCTGGCCCCATCTTGAAATATTGATACATGTTCCAGTGTTTAGGTAGATTTCTTTTTAAATTTAGATTCTTTGTTGCTTCTCTGCAGACTATAATCTTTCTTATAGATGGAAATCTGTATAAAATGTCAGATAAATCAGTATAAACTGATTAATCAGATTCCCTTGTTTATCTTACAGCTAGGTTAACCAAAGATTACAAAATAATAGCTGAAACTTCCAAAATTTCAACAATTTGTCGGTTGGAGTTTCCATGTAATAAAATTCATTATGCATTTTATAAATGCTGTTTATTATTCAAGTAAAAGTTAAACTAATTCAGCAACAGCAAACACCTATTTATGTCCTCCTGTACCTTTTTGTTTTCCTTTAAGATTTTCCCACATTTGGAAAAAATGAACTGAGCTTCAAATCTGCAACAAATATTAGTGAATTTGCATGGCTTTAGCTGCAGTGTGAGAGATAAAATGAAAGTAAAGCAACTGAAATAACTTCAGCAAACAAGAGTGAACAATTTCCAGTTGGTGTATAAAAGCAAAAATCTCTTTCTTGCCACTTTCCTAAGGAATCCTCCTGCATTGTGAGCCATCTTATAGTGCAATCTATTACTTTCTGATGTTTTTATTTGTTCATGCATTGGCACAACTCAAAAAGAATTAACCCAAGACGTCTGGAGTCCCCCCCCCCCTCCTGAAATCATACAATATTTGTTTAAAAAGACAAGAGATTTGAGACATGATCGTCTAAAGGTTTGTGTGTATTTAAACACATGCAAACAAGTTGGAACAGGTTAGTATGAATAGCTGATCTCCATACTAGGTGCAAAGTGATTTCTGTTTGGAACATCAGCGGGCACAGACTTTTTTTGAGTGTGCCTTCAGTAATATGCTTATCATGTTCTATTGACCATACCAACAAAGGGGGAGTGTGAGCATTTGAACACATCTTGACTTTCAGAAATAACAATAGTAGAGCATTACTAATAAATATAAAGTAAGGCTGAACGGTTTTGCCAAAAATCAAAACTGCGATTATTTTCGACAAACATGATGTTTTACTCCAGGGTTTTCGTTTTTTCACGATATTGAAAGCCTGCTTGTCAAGATTCCAGTGTTGAAGGACTTTACTGTAACATCTGCAGGAAATATATCATACTTCTACTATAATGCATAGATCTAGGAGCTAGCTGCAACTCTGTATTCCCATCTCTGTGACAGCATAGTTTTACTGCCTCCTAAAGGGCTGGAGGGAGAAATGTCAAGTCATACTCATGTTAAATGCATTGTGACTAAAAATTGAATGCCGGTACGATTTGAAAATAGCATTTTTCTAAACTGCGATTATATTGCAAATGAAATTAATTGCCAAGCCTTAATATATAGGCATGTTTAAAAAAAAAAAAAAAGGATTTTATCAGCAACCAAATAAAATCAGTCAGAGAGGCTCTAGAGCAGAGGTCTGCAGCCTTTCATATCCAAAGAGCCGTTTTACCCAGAGTCCGACCAAGTAAAACTTGTTTAGAGCCTCAAAATATAACAGGCTCTAACTCGTTAAAAAAAATAATATTTTTTTAAATCTCGTGTTGGAAATTATTAACCATCTTAAACAATCAAAAAATGATGTATTTTTAGCTTTTAAAACTATAATAAAACACATAATTTCCAAGCCAATTAAAAGGAAATGGCTCTGAAAACGTATTTCTGTTACCTTTAACCTCCTTTCTTTCCATCTTATAAAAAACACTTATAGTACATTATTTAGCTCTTTATATACATTTTGGGCACTATTAATAGCTGCTGGAGACAGTCCAAAGAGCCACATGCGGCTCAGGATCCACAGGTTGAGGACCCCTGCTCTAAACGGATACCTCTGATTTGTTGTGATTTTATTTTCTCCCCAAATTTTCTGTTTAAGGGCTTCACATGAAGCACAGATATATTTCATAATAGTTGCTAGTTTTGGACGAATTGGTGGAGGTAAAGCTGATTAGAGCAAGATTTCTCCGTAGATCAGACCTTGGCTGCTTCTCTGTCAAAGAAGGATCTTTGGGATTGGCAGACAGTCAGCTATTTTAAAATGTAACTTTCCTTATATTCATATTTTTACTTTTTCTACGTTTGTTTGTCGAATCTTAAGATGTTAAGTGCACTGAAAATGTATTCATTTTATATCTTTCCTTCCCCAGAAATCAGCTAATAAGATTTCTAGAACTACATTTACAATCTGAGGCTGATGACTGCCAGCCTGAGAGTTGTTCCCCTTTTTCATAACTAACAGAACCTGCTTACTGATGTCCAGGGCAATAATGGATAACAAAGAAATTTGTGAAGTAGTTTGTGTTTGTGCAAGGATTTAACAATGTAGTAATGGTAATCGCTAAATTATATTTGAATATTGGATGCTGTGACAATGGCTGTGTTAAAATATCTAACTTTCCCAATTTGACTCCCTACTTCTAGGGACAACTCTCTTAACTCAACAGGCCACTAAGCGTTATTTTTCCCTTTAACTTCCAATTCCACGTAACAGTTTAAGCATGTCGGACAAGAAAAGGTATTTTAAAATGAAGCACCACAGAACTTTGTGGCAGCTGTGGTTGTTTTAAAGGGCTTTATAAATAAAGTTGCGTTGAGTTGAGCACCTTTTAATAAGGTGAAAACGCTGATATAAGTCATCCTTTTCTCTGCTGCTAATGCTTTGTTAAATGCTCACACATAGATTATAATTAGGTATGGTCCTCTTATATTTATTAACTGTTTTTGCTAATTTTGAGCCATTTTATTAAAATTATGTCAGATTGATGTACCAGAACTTTAATCCAACCACTTCTGATATTTGAAAAATGCACCAATGAAGGTGGTGCCCAGCAGGATATAACAGTGGTGAAGGCTTGGCGAAGTCCAGTAAGGTAAATAAATGCTTCATTAACTAGAAACGCTAAGCTAATTTATAGGTAACCTGAAAAATCCATTAACAAATAGCAAATCTCACTGTTCTAAATCAAATTTGCTAGTCCCGTTTATAGCCCTCATCTTTTTCTGGGTGGCATCTCAGTATGTTTGGGGCCAAATGTTACTGATTTAAAATCAGATGCAGGACATTGGTTGAACATGAGGAGGTTTTAGATAAAAACAAATGTGAAGTTAATTGTCAATATTGACATGGACATGCAGACAACATCCATGTATTCAGCCTGTTAGTTTTTTAATTTAATTTTTCTTTAAGGATCACCAACACTTCAGAATAAGTATGGACGGGATATCAAAGTTATAAAAGGTTACAATTTTAAACCATTTTTAATGGTTTTTAGAAAAATAACAGCAACTTTTTTCCTGCTCTCTTACTGAATGTATTATCTGATTCACAGGCTTAACTTTCTGTAGGATAACACAATCTTTTATTTGAAACCATTACAATTCAACTAGATGTCCCCCCTAATTTGTGGCGATTAAAACTGGATCTACACTAAAATGTGAAACTTCTTTATTTTAAATTTGCATCTAAATCTCTTCAGTGTTATCTGAGGTGGATAAACAGATGTTTCATTATCTAAAGGGAAAATTTATGCACACTATTATATTGTTACAACAAACAGAAACGTAAGAAAGGAGATATATCTTAGGAACAGAAGGTGTATCCCCAAGTGTTATGCTGTGCATTGCTTGTCAGCTGGCAGAAAGAAGGCTTCTTCAATTAAGCTTAGCAAACAATAAATGTAAATCTACATGGTGGTCTATAAAAACACTAACCCTAATAATTTGCAACCCTACAACAAAATGCACATAGAGCTTGGCAACCATGCCAGTGTGTAGAAATCCATTGTGGCTACCCCCTCATACAGAATGTAAAGATTTAATGACATTTCTGGTGGTTTATATCTAATTAAACCTAAGACACACTCACTGCTGCAAAATACCTATGAACAGGATCCATTAGTGAGACAATCTAAAACTGCCGATTACAGGCTGACACATTAAACTATACAACATACTAAAACTATTTATTTTTTACTAAAGTATACTTTAAGTATACTTTAGTAAACTTAAAAACGTCCCAATTTAGTTCGAAGAAGTTTTACTTTAGTAACACTTCAAGTACACTAAAAGTACATTGTTCGGTATACTCTCTAAATTTATACTTAAGTATTCTTAACAGAATTTACTTCAAGTATACTACTTTTTGCTAAGGGTAATTTAGTGAATGTTAATGCTATTTTGTACTTCCGTGTGAAAATAATGTACTGAGAAATAATATATGGTGTTGTTGTTTAATTTTATGTTTTAAACAAAGGCAGTAAAATCAGATTGCATATGCCTTTTTTATATTTTAGTGTAAATGCACTAAACTGTGGTGTTTTCTTTGGGAGGCTGGTAATTAAATTACAGGCCTATGTTTTCTAAATATTAATGAATTTAAGGGCAGATGTGATGGAAACCCTGCAGCAGCAGCAGCAGCAGGATGCGGTCATATTACTTGTCTTGAGTGGCCCCTGGGTTCCGGCGGCTTGAAGAAGGAATCCGGCAGCTTCCTCATCCTCATGGGCACAGAGTGGGGCTGCCTGGCCGCCTTGCTGGGGTTCATCACGGCGCTGAACAGGGCCTCCAGCTCCGTCTTGGAGTCCCCGCGGACGTGCACGACCTGCTGCCCTGCCGGAGGCGCGCCTCGGTGCGCGTCCATGTCGCCCAAAGTTTGGAATCGAAACAGATCTGCTGGAAAAAAAAAAGTTCACAAACGGAGAACAAAACTCAAGAACGCTAAAATACGAGTCGGATGCGCCTCTGTGCTACAGTTCAGCTCTGATTTGTTTACACTTTTAGACCCCCCCCCTCCTCTCTTAAACCCCCCCACCCCATTTGAACTTTTTATGTTGTCGCGGTGTTTGAAGCTTTAAGTCATTACTCTACAAGAAAAACACCAAGCTTAATTTGGAAAACCCCAAAAAAGTGATATTTAAACAGATCGTGTCTGTATAAAAGGAAAAAAAAAGAAAAATCAATCTCGGCAGAACACAACATGCCTCCCACATACCTCAAGCAGCCAGAGCGTCCCCCCTCCTCTCCCTCCTCCTCCCCCGTGTGTTCCTGCAGGAAAAAAAAAAGAAGAGCCAGTCTGGAAAACAGTCCAGCCGACTCCGTTTTTCCCTCCGACACAACCGGAGGAATTAAAAAAAAACTTATAAAGGCGAGGCGGGGCCGCGCGCACTAGAAAGCGGCCTGAGAGGAGCGATTTCACCGAGACCTCCAAACTTTTCCCATCCAGCTTCCAGTCCAGATTCATGTGATAGTGAGCAGGGGCGGGGTTGCTGGGTTTAAAGCCGCCGCAGTTGCAGGGCAAATATTTCACACTCAGGACAGATACTGTAAACCATCACTGGGAAAAAACTAAAGGAAAATAGACAAATGGGAGTGTATTCACAGCTAAGTGAAAATAATATGTTTAAAAAGAAAAAAAAATTAGATTAGGTTCTTTTTCAAGTTTGTTTGGTTTCTCTGCTAGTAAAAACAAGTGATAGAGAGCATTAAAAACTGCGACAGTCTGTGATTATTTTATAAAAGGGGCACATGTGTCTGCTCAGATTTCTTTTTTTCCTGACTCTGGGTCTGGGTCTTGTATATTTTGGGGGGTTGGGTGGGGGAAAATTGGGAAGTTGCGCCGAAAAAACATCCGCCCCACGATGAGGCTAACCCAGCCGGAGCCATTTGTCCAGTGCGCCCCCTGGTGGCAGGAACGCACCCTGGAAGCCGCAGGTCAGCTGCCGAGGGTCAAGAGTATGGCGTCAAAAACAAAGTAAAAAAAATAAAATAAAATCAGAATTACTTTATTAATCCCTTGCGGGAAATTATTTTCTTGCAGTGCAACCATTTACAGAAGAGAGAAAAATATGATTGTCAACACACACACACAAAAAAAAAATATAATGAAAGGAAATAAGTAAAACTACACCCTTCCCATATAAACAGTGTAAAATAAGATATAGCAACAAAATAGATAAAAAGATAGAATAAACTACTTTTATTGCACATAAAAAGCAGATTGAAAAATTAATAATTTAAGTATATATCAGCTTTTGTCATATTTCTATGCTAAAATTGTTGCAAACTTATAAATGATTTCTTAAATAAATATTTACATATGGGATGGTTAAAATTAAAATGTATTGAACACATTAAAAAAACTCAAATCAATTCAATTACAATTCAGTTTATTTATAAAGCGCCAATTCACAACACATGTAATTTTAAGGCACTTTACAATAAAACCAGATCATCCAGTCAAATTGATTCAAAGTTTTCTATCAAAGGAAAAACAGTTGATTGCATCAACTTATTGACTCAAAGGCTATCCCTTACACCTGGCATGCTTGTAGCGACAGTGGAGAGGAAAAACTCCCTTTTAACAGGAAGAAACCTCCAGCGGAAACAGGCTCAGGGTGAGCAGCCATCTGCCGAGGCAGACTGGGGTTCAAGGAGACTGAAGCAGAGATACAAAAGACAACTGTTAACCAGCTCCACAGGTGGCCCTGTCCAGGAAACACACAGCCATCCAGACATACTCTGAGCCAGCTCCCATGTCAGAGGATGAGGATAGCACATCTAGCCAGTCACAGTCAGAGAAACAGGACTACTCTGAAAAACAGGCTGATCTCGAACATCTAGAAACAAAGGTGTTGATGGCAGCAGCACAGCTGATATTTCTCTCCAGGATGGTGTCACAGCCAAACAGGAACAGACCAGATGAAGCTACTATGAGAAAAATCAGAGAGAGCATAACGTTAGAGATTGAACTAACAAATTCTACAGAGTGGGAGAATAGAGACAGAATAAAGCCAAATGATGAAAAAAGGTGTCCCTATGTCCTCCAGCACTCTAAGCCTATGGCAGCATAACTATAGAGGTATCAAAAAGAAAGTTTTAAGCCTACCCTTAAAAGTAGACAGGGTGTCTGCCTCATGGACTAAAACTGGTAGTTTGTTCCACAGGAGAGGAGCCTGATAACTAAAAGATCTGCATCCCATTCTTTTCATTTATTTATTTATTTATTTATTTATTTATTTATTTATTTATTTATTTATTTATTTATTTATTTATTTTTTATATAAATTCTAGGAACCACTAGTAAACCTGCAGATTGAGAGGCAAGGGCTCTTTTAGGGACATAAGGAACAATCATATCTCTGATATAAGATGGAGCTTAAAAAAGATAACTTAATTGTTTAGTGATTCAAAAATCTCTTAGACATAATCAGATATTAAAAATATATAACCATTAATCCAAATGTAAACTAATGATGTTTTAAAATAATTTCAAAAAAAGTTAATGACCTACTTAGTGATTTTAACCATTTAAATAACTTAATTTAGCTCCTTTACATGTTAGTTTTTTTTTATAATGAAAATAAAGACTAATACACAACAATTCAATGCATCAAGATTTTTAAATTCATATCTCTAAATGTGATTGCAAATCAATTAAGCTGGATCCATTATTTCTCAAATACACCCTAACATCTAACTGGTTGATCCAGTAGCAGCACTGGCCCAATACAATCTATAAATAATCTGGAAAGAATAAAGAAACAAAATGCTCATTTATGTTTTAGCATCTGTGAAAATTTTCATAATATGTTAGTTATAAATGTTTAAAAAATATGTGTTTAACATGGAAGTGTTTGTATATACTCAATGAATGAGCTAAAATGAGTAATTTTATCTCACTTCATGGATTGTCATGCTGAATATAGAACAGAACAAAGAATAATGACAACCTGGAAGCTTATATACAATGAGAGAGGAGAAAAGCTCTCAAATAGCTAAGAATAATCAGGAGTAGATAAGAACAGCTGAGCTAATTAAAAGAGGAAGAGCTGAGGGAGGAGGGTAAATGAAGAACAGAGAGAAACCCAGGAACAAAATCAACAATGATTGAAACAAAATTTACAATGGAAAAAATGTACATACAAAATAAGAACTTGATCTAAAACAAATGGCAGTGTGTAGAAAACATAAATACAGGGAGAAAAGTACATATCTAAAGAAACAAAAACCTTCAAACACTTCATGAAACTTTATTCCAGGTTTTATTGATGGGTAGAAGTCAAACACTGACAGTGAGTTCAGTCATTGTATTACATAACATAGGTTATTTAAAATGAAGTCTTATATGCTGTGTTGAAGACTCCTTTTACTCCTTTTACCCAGATGCACCACAGAGCGCCACAGGAAATCATTCCTGCCTGTGGTCATCAATCTCTACAACGCCTCCCTCAAGTGATTCAGACACCCCCTCCCCCCTCTGTAATTGACATTTATTTATTCCTTGCACTGTTTTTGCATGTCACTATCACTTTATTTGGATTTATAGGTACATATGCATATATATATATATATATATATATATATATATATATATATATATATATATATATATATATATATATATATATATATATATATATATATATATATATATATATATATATATATATATATATATATATATATATATATATATATATATATATATATAGTGTTTCCCTCGGGGATTATTATTTCTGATTCTGATTGAGGCTGAAATCAATCTGCCCATCGTCTCTCTGTCTGCTTAGGCAAGGCAAGGCAAGGCAAATTTATTTGTATAGCACAATTCAGTACAAAGACAATGCAAAGTGCTTTACATGATTAAATACAGGAAGATAAAACAGACTCAAAACAAGTAAGAAAAAAAAAAAAATGAATAAAAAAAAAAAAAAATGCAGAAACAAAAAAGAGTATTAAAAACAGTTGGGTTAGCATTTGATCAAAAATTTCTTAGACTCACTGAATGCTGAAGAATCTGAATTAATTTCCCTTCTTTAAAATGATCACAGCTGCCATCTTTCACTCTTTCTTTAAGCAAACAAACTGCATGTTATTTAACCCTGTCTGACATTTTTTATTGTTTCATAGTGAATGCTTAATAAATGAAACCTTTGGATTTAAACAGATACACAAATAGATTTTAAAGTGTTCCGAACCTTGGACAAAAAAGCTGAATTTATAAAAAAATGGAAAGAGGAGGTTTGATTCAAAGAGTAAACACAAAGTCAGTATCAGCCAGTGAAAATTGTATTGCGTGTCTCATTAATTCAGATTATTGTTGATATCAACAGCAATTGCTTCTGTCTCCCTGAACCCTAGTCAGCCTCGGCAGATGGCCGCTCACACTGAGTCTGGTTCTGATGGCGATTTCTTCCTGTTTAAAGGGAGTTTTTCCTCTCCACTCTCACTACAAGCATGCTCTGTGTGAGGGATTGCTTTCGAGGCAATGAGTCGATGCAATCAGCTGGTTTTCCTTCAAACGAAAACTTTGAATCAATTTTACTGTATGATCTGGTTGAACTGTCCTTAAAGTGCTTGAGATGACGTGTTGTAAATTGGCACTATATAAATAAACAGATTTGAATTGAATTTTATTAAAGAGATATTTTTGGCAGTGGGGGGATTTTTGTTTTCTGAAAAAAAAAATAGATCATCCCTTAAGAGTAAAGTTTATTAAGCAATATAAACACAGCACCAAAAAAAAAAAAAACGAGACATCTTAAATTCCTTCACACTAAAGAGAATCCACATCTCTATTTACAGTCTGGGAAACTTGAAACAGTCTTTTGAAGTTTAAAATGCTTTGTGTATTTTCTTTTTATTTCCCATTTAGAAACACTGTTTTCAACTTGAACCCCCATTCAGTAAATTAAATGTCTGATTAGTTTGTTAACCAGTGGAGAGGATTTGTTTTTTTACTCCATCATCATTACTGAAACAGATACATTAGTATCTGTTTCAGTAATGATGATGGAGAAAAAGACATCTGAAACACATTATCACAGTAATAAACGATGATAAATTGTCCTCTCTTTGTTCCCATTATAGAGAGCGGATAGAAACACAGTGTGAAAGGTTGCCTGATAGGTAATGTGTGACTTCTCCCTATGAGAGGGGCTGCAAACACTGAGGGCAAAGAAAAGGTCGACAAAAACTTTCAGGGAAGTAAAATGCTCTGTTTTGCACAGTCAGTCATATACCCCATATTATGTGTTTTTGTTTCTTATCACCTGTTTAACAGTGGAATGAATAGATTAAAGAGACATTGATCCATTCCAGACATTTTCATTGTGGCCTGCTTTAGTGGAAGTGATACTTTAGATCGAAATGTTCACATGTGGCAAAATAGCAATTCCACTTTGAACATAATTATCACATAGCCAAATCAGATAAACATGTTTTTTTAAAGTCACATTTTAGGTCAACTATTCACACAACCCCTGACCTGCCTCTTTAATTTAGCCTTAATTGAGATGCAGAAGAGGGATGTGAGGAGAGATTGCTGGGAAAAGTTCCTGTGATACACTTTTGTGAACAATAGATGGCAGTGTCTCTTTTTAACAGTTTCTTCATGCATTTGATAGCTTTTTCATGTTGATTTACTAAAAGGAAAACTAGAATTAAACCCCGCAGCGAAACAATTGAACAATTGTTGAACACCAACTGATTACAAGCTGAGGAAAAAGATAAACATGTTTGCAGTGTGTTTCCATCACGATTTCATTCTATTAATAGTTAATATCGGTGGGAAAATAAAACTTAGCAGATATAAATTTACAGCAAAAGAAAAAAGGATGACCTATTTTATGTTTAAAAAAAAAACCTATAAAATGTTTTTAATGTGGATTTCAGAGTCTCAGCATCTACTTTAAAGATTTGAAGTTGTAAATATTCAGCAGTTATTTCCAATGTTGTTCATGCATACATGGTGCCCTGGGCGAACTGCTTGGAGAACCAGAAACCAAATCAAAGGAATAAATTTGATGAAATGAATTGCTGCCATGTACAGTACCTACATGTAAGATAGCCCCTCTATTTGAACAGCAAGCAGTAGGGCCCACTGACAGATAATTTATGCTGTTTTTATGCTGTTTGTGCTCGTACCCGCACATCTCCCACTGATCAGCTGCTAATTCAGCCCTGGGCCACTGCACATATATAATCCATATATCGTACTTCCATCATTTTAGAAACGTGAAATTCCAATATTTACTGCAGTTGACTCTTTTTTTGTGCAACTGTCAATTAGATTTGCCAGAACACGTTAATTCTTTGTCTCAAATCAAAGGGGGGCCATTAAATATAGTCTGGGAATCAGTGACTTAGCAGGCTATGCATTAGCTGTAGTGTCTTGCTTTATCATAGATACAGATTGAGATGAATTTAAATCAATAACAATATTTCTGGGAAGAGGCTTTGCAGCATTTGCTGCAGGACCAGCAGGTTCTGCAACAGCTTTTTGCCCACTGCCATGAGACTGTTAAACAACTGAAACTCTAATCAAGACTCTGCATCACACTAATAAACATCATATTTGCACAACATGGCTGATTTTTGTCTTAATCCCTTTAAATTGAACCCAACTCAATGTATACTGCATTTTGCACATTTATTTATTTGCACTGCACTGAACCTTTCCATATCAATGCCTTTTGCACCATTCTTTAAACTGGTTTTCCTTTTCCCCAACACAGTTTACATTCTGATAGCTGCTGCACTTTATAAATGGTAATGTTCATTTAACTGTTGTAAGCTGCTCATTCACTGTGTATGCAATGACTTTTCGTTTTATATACACTCTGTGTATATAAAATGACAATAAAATTTGTCTTAGTCTGTCTATTTAGTATTCTTACCCAAAATTGTGTGGATGTTTATACAATTATAAAGAAAGACAGTTATAATGACAGACGCTCTTTGATGATTATTGCTATTTTCAAAAAAAAAAAAAATAAAATCTAACATTGTTATTTATGGTTTTCCCAACAGCAAAGTCATCAAGATAGCTTTCATCGTAAAAACAGTCAATGTTAAAGGATTTTAATCTCAAAATGTTTGGAAACCATTGATTGCTGCTACTTTACAGTGATTTACTGTTTCTCTGTTAGTATCCAAGGGGAAAAAATAGATTGGAGATAAAAAATGTACTATGAATATAAATGCCCTAAAAGTAAAGAATATCTTTGTGTTCACAGTGTATCTATACATTTATTCAGCTATTTCAAACACTCAACCCCCCAAATGCAATAAGATTCAATGAGATTCCTTTAATGGCTTGAATCCACTTTGTCAGAATGAGGTTTAACTCATTGATCTGCATGAGTTCCCTGGTTATTGAAAAGCACACACTCTTTTAGAGCAGGACGTAACATTGCACAGATGTGGGGTCCCTGAGGCTACAGCCCCATGCTTTTTCCACATTCCTCTGCCTGGCCATGGCTGCAGACAAATAGTACCGGTAAGTCCTTTCTACTGGCACTCTCAGCAACATTTTCCAAGGAAGCAAAAGAATTCAGCAGGACTCTGCTTGAAATTTGCTGCTGTTCTTTTACTTTTCACTTTCTTCTTAAATGGCCAGTTAACTGCACAAATTGGTCTGACTCTAGATGTATGACTCAGTGCTTGGGGTTGGAGGAAATAAAAGCACAAGGAAGAAAGACCCTGCTCTATCTACAGCCCACCTCCAGCTGCAGCTCCCACACAGGGACATAAGCAGAGACAGGGGGTTCAATAAAACAAGTTACACATTTTTCCTTCCCACATCTGGTTCTCATGCTGGCGGCAGGATGTGACCTTTAAAACAACAAGGCCTGATTAGGAGACACACCACAGAGGAGGGTAATAACCGCAAAACTAAAATCTGCACATTCAGCCCATTCTGGGATAAATGATCAAACTGTTACAAACCTCCTCTAACAGAGGCAATGCAATAGGAGTTTACAGGAAAGTGGGAGTAACAACCATCAGTCACTCCCACCATCATGTGTTGGAGAAAAGCGAGGTGAAAGTATAAAAAAGGGGGTTTGTGGAGTGTGAACGATAGATGTGGATAGGTGTTGGAGAAAAATAGGAATAAATGAAGAAGCATCTGCTGGTGGAAGGAGCTCCGCCCCACAGCTTCAAGAGGAAATGATCACAGCTGTACTGAGATGATGTCGGCAACAACTCTCCTCCTGCTGCTTTTGCCTCAGCTGGTTTTCCCCACAGTATGTACCAAATGCATGTTGAACATTTTCATTGTTTTTTTAAATTGCTTTGTTATGAAATGTTTATAAGAATTGACTGAGGTCAGATTAAGGAAGAACTTATGAGCTGCCAGGCAAGAGGCCCAAACTGCCTCTTAAAGCTGATTTATTCTGTATGTTTAATCAAATCAAGTTTCACACTAAAAAGAAAATGAGCAAGAAACACTTTTTGTCAAATCTTTGAGATTAAAGGGTTTTGAAAACACATAAAGAATGTTTTATTTTACCAAATCGGTACTCAAGGACATCGAAGGAACTCATTGCTTCAGAAAACCTTAGACAGGACATTATAATCTTCTGGTTTTTTGATTATACAAATGTTTTTTTTCCCCCAACTTTTATTTTATCCCATCTGGTTCCAGGTTAAATTGCCCATTTGTCAATTTTATCTCAATAATATATACCAACTTATTGCTATTTTATCATGACCTTCTTCCATTTTTTGTTCTGTAAATCAACCGTTTCATACTCGTGCCAACTCATAGGATATTAACGATGTCTCTTATCAGTGAGGTGCTTTATTGTTAGAACGTAAGCTTCTAGAGACTGTTTGCTTTGTATATGAACATCAAAAATCTGCATTTATAAAATAAACATCGAAGTTTTGTGTCATTCAGTTAAATATGAAAAACTGGATTACTGGGTTACCGTCATTTCTTTATATAGCAAGTTTTCCTTTTGTTTAAACTTTATTCATTCTTATTGTTTCTCCCTAGACTGACGGTATCATTGGTCATTTAAACCAGTCAGAAACAGTCAGAGAAGAGCTCTCTGATTCATCTGCCAAAAGCCAAAAAGCTTTCAGGCAGGACAGAGGTCACGATGCTTGCTCCATCCCATGTGACATCACCATCAAACTCCTGCGGGATGAGAAACACTCAGTCTGCGGTGAAGTTTTTCTTCGTTTCTCATTATATTTATAGTTCTGTTGACAAAAGGAGTTGCTCAGGATGCCGGTTTCTCTGCCTGCAGGTCAGCTGCAACAGTCCCTGCTGGCCTTTGGACGCAGCACCCGAAAGCTGATGAGGGACGTGATGGAGGAGCAGCAGAGAGCTCTGGATGTGCTGAGCAGTCAGGTAAATCCTGGCTTTGATTTGATGGTTTCATGAGAGTCTTTAAAGGATTTAACTGAAAAGTTTAGTCATCTTTCCAGGTCACAGAACTGATGAGCAAAGTGCAGACGCTGAGCTCCGAGGTCCAGAGAAGCAACATTGAGATGTACTCGATAAAACCTGTGTTATCCCACGGTAATGCCAAGGTTCCCTCACAAATCTGACAGATTAAAGTGAAAGGCTTGGATTAATTAACAGAACATAGTAAACCATTCTATAGTGCAAGAAAAATGATATGATTATATGATTTTCTTTATAGATCTAAAAAAAAAGAGCATTTGTGTAAATTTCTTTCATTGTAACATCGCTCAACAAAAATGTAGTGCAGCCAAATATTATCTATGGTTTTATAGAAAAATATAGTAAACTTAAATGCTGAATAGACCAGAGGGTGTCCTGATCAGTCACTTTTTGGACGTAATCCCAGTGGAACTATGCAGAAAATTCTTCAGCACATATCAAAATATATTTCCTGATTAATCAGGATCGTAGAACCATTTAATGATGTTTAATGATGTTTTTTTTAACATATAAATAATATATTTTTTATTGATTCTACTTTTTTATATTGCCTTATTGCTTCATTGGCTTTTAAAAACACATTTTTTGGTTGAATAGAATTAGCTTTAGATTTAAATATGCCACAGGGTATGAATAATTTAGGGCTTTACCAAATCAAAATATTTTGGAGTTAATATGTAGATGTGTCATTAAGCCTAGGCATATTTTATTGTGCAGAGTGAAGCAACAATGGATGAGAAATGTTCTTTTAATTGGATCATTCTTGTTATTAATTAGGACGAGACTGCAGTGACATCAAGGACAGTTTGTTGTCAGTCGTCCCAAAGATCCCCAGTGGCATTTATATAATCCACCCAGAAGAAACAGATTCTTCTTTCGAGGTAAAACATTAAATCAGTTATCCAAAGGCTGATTATTTTATCATTCAAAGCTAGATAAAATGTTCTGCAGGTGTTCTGTGAGATGGACTACATGGAAGGTGGCTGGACAGTGATTCAGAGAAGAACCGATGGATTAAGTGACTTCAAACGATCCTGGACTGATTACCTTGATGGCTTTGGGAACCTTGCAGGTTATTCAGGCTTGCTTTCATCATCTTCAAAAATCCAGTTTAAATAAATGGAATTGATTCAAGTTCCTTCTCATATTGGGTTACATGTAATTTCTTAGATAAGTAAAATTCTTGGGGAGTTTGTTCCTCACACATTTCTATTTGTTTACATCTTTAGGAGAACACTGGTTAGGTCTAAAGAAGGTTTTTCACATCGTCAACCAGAAAGAGGCTCGCTTCCAACTGCACATTGCTCTGGTCTCCAACAACGATGTCACGTCTTATGCATCCTATGATGACTTCCGCCTTGATAATGAAACAGAGTTCTTCAGAATCCACCTGGGCCGATATGCAGGCAGTGCTGGTATGCAAAAACAGTCTGATATTTACATTCTTAACTTAATGTCTGTCCACCGTTTGGAACAAGTAATGTTGTCTTGTGACACTATGTGTGTGGTTTTGTGCAGGTGATGCTTTCCGTGGCTACGAGCAGGAGCAGAACCAGGACACGGCTCCATTTAGTGCTTCCGATGTTGATAACGATGGGTGCAACCCATCATGCACCTTCTCCAACAAGACTGTGGAGAGCTGCAGCATTCTGCACAATCACACAGGATGGTGGTTCAACCGGTGTGGGCTGGCGAACCTCAACGGTTCCCCTGGAGAGGGGCTCCAGAACCAAGGGAAGAGGACTCAAATCCTATGGGACACCTGGAGGCAGAGTGGTGTCCCACACACCATCAAATCTGTTACAATGAAGATCAGAAGGCTTGCAACCAACAACTGACACCGAAATGACTCATCAAAATGCCCAACAATTTGAATTCAACAGTAAATATTCACTAGCAGAAATATTTGACAACTTATGCATCAATGTAGAGAATACTTTCCAGGAACTATTCCAGAACTTTACAGGTGATTCATAGAAGTAAAAATACACTTCCAGAAACTTTCATGAAATTTGGCAGTTACTTTTGGTAAAGTTTCCATCAAAGTTCTTTTAAAAGCTCTAAGGCAGGGCTGTCCAAAGTCGGCCCATGAGGGCTACTGTCCTGCAGGTCTTGGAGGTTTCCTGCTTCAGCAGAGCTGATTCTGATGATTGCAGTTCAGCAAAAACCTGTTAATCAGCTTTTAATGTAAATCACCTGAGCTGTAGCAGGGAAACCTCTACATATATGCTATGTTCAACACTATTTTATAAGAGATTCAAATTGAGTTTACTGGTTTGCTCCATTAACCAACAATTCATGGTATGTTCTGAAAAAGTGTCTTGAGAGTCCCTTCAAAATATAGGATAAATTCTGGAAAGTAAGTTGCAGAAAGATTTACGAATGATTAAAGAGCACTAGACTTATATTTTAGTTCTGTGGAATATAAATCCACCACAAATGTGAAAAACAATTTATTACTGTTTTTCTAAAGCAGAAATCCCTGGTATGTACATAAGCCAAAGCTTAATGACATGCTCTAGAGTTTAAAAAATAAAATCCTTTTATTTCCATGTATTTTGCCTCTTTACTTGTCTTTGTGTTTTAATTAGATTCTGAAAGTCAACTCAGTATCCATCACAAATTTCCTGTAACCTTCAATGGTGACTTAAAATTTTTTTTTTATTAATATTTCTGTTTTCATTTTATTTTGTTGTTCACAGAGGTCTGATCCTAAAATGGAAAGTGCCTGCATTTATCTCTCCTAAAAATACCTACGTTGGTATAGTTGTAAGAAAGGAGTTAAAGATTGTGTAATATCATCTCTATCAAGTGAACATGAATATTTATCTGGACAGACATTAAATATTTTACTGAGAAGGAGCATCTGTATCAATGTAGCCTACACTTCAACAAGCTTAAAGGGGAACACCGTTTTTTTTTTACATTGGCCCCTTGATTTTACGTTACATCTTGTTCTACTCACCCATATGAGTTTTGTGTCATTTGGAGCTGTTCTGAGATATTCCATTATGTTATATGGTAAATGGCATGTACGTATATAGCGCCTTTATTCAAGTCAGAAGACTTGACCAAAGCGCTTTACACTACATTCATTCACCCATTCACGCACACACTGATGGTGGCAAGCTACATTGGAGCCACATCTGCCCTGGGGCTCACTGACAGAAGCGGGGCTGCCGTACACTGGCGCCATCGGGCCCCCTGACCACCATCAGTAGACAATGCAGGTGAAGTGTCTTGCCCAAGGACACAAGGACACTGAAAGTCGGAGTCGGGGCTTGAACCGTCAATCCTTCGATTTCAGAGCAAACTCCTACATCCAATGCCCTGTCGTTATATCCAAGTAACGTCTACCGATGGGCAACGACTTAAAGGCACAAACTAAACTGTTCATAATTTATCATTTATGGTACGCCTGCATTCATAACATGTAGGCGAATCACTGTCCCCCAGACATCCCTGGTTATATTTTTTATATTACACAGAGACCCACAGAGAATTAATCTATTCAAATAAAATGCTTGTTTTTTTTAACCATCAATACAGACATATCAAAATATGACTCCATGTTTGAAATAGTTTGTGTCAAGATGAGTAGGATTGTAGGGGAACCAAATGCAGAGCCAGAGGCAGAGATGGTTTCTTGCAGATGTAATGTGGTGGCAAGAGAAGAATACATCTAAAAATAACAAACAAGTACACAAAGGAACCAGAACAGAGAGTAACACAAAATTTCAGGAGTGAATGGAGAGAACACAGAAAACAATAACTTCAGAGGGGTATGTATGGCCAACAGTACAATGAATGGAGTAATCAACTGATTGGGAGCAGGTGTGGGCAGAAGTAGCTAGAAGGGAGCTGGGGTGGTGGGGGCGGAGAGTAACAAGGGAATAAAAGAGGGCTTAAATATTTCTCAAAAATAACTTCAATGACCGTAAAGGCAGATAAAACTAATGACTAGAAAACACAGAATGACAGAAATCAAAGTGTAACCAAAAACCCAGAGTAAAAACCTAAACACAACCAAAACTGCAAATCACAAGATCGGGATTATTTGGCTCCTATCTCATGTCAGCATTACCTAAATATCCAAGTAGGTGCAGATAATTTAGTCCTGAAACTGTAGAGCATTTTTACTTTGCAGGTCTCTGGCTTATTATCAGTACAACTATAAGAAATTAAAATTAATTCTATAATTACTTTATCATAGCCTAACTGCCCTAAGTGATTTAAAAATCCACAGCTTTAACTTCAGCAGGAAGCAATTTTCTGCATTATAAAATAGGTCAAACTTAGTTTATCCTTATTTCTTTCTTTTTGTTTTTACTTTCTACTACAGTTATTTGGCTAAGAGAACCACGGCAACAGGTGAAATACCTATGATAGAGAAGAGAGACGATCCATTCCAGCAGATGGTGCTGTTGACCTTGCCTTTTACACTTCAACAGAATAAAAGGCAAGGTCAACAGAACAAAACACTTTTAACAGAATAAAAACAATTGTAGCAAAAAAACAAAACAAACAAAAAACAAGTAAATATTTAAGAATAAGAATCCATTTCCAAAACTGTCATTAGATACTGGTCAGAAATTGTAATCAAAGGTAATCCAGCACTGGGAATAATGGTTGATACCTATCCAATCACACAATGCTTCCAAACTACAGAAATGACTGGGTTTACTGGGTAAACTAGATGAATTGGACAGCAGTTCCCTGTATGTCATCTTCACTGCCTTATGTATTGGAAAGAAAACTATCCTCATGAACTGGAAAAAAAGAACAGTCTAAATATTAACCAGAACAGAGACATTCTGTTCAATTCAAGTAATCTATACAGGGCCTCTGCTCATTAGTAAATCAATCTCTCTAGAAACTTTTGATTGGCTACCTTTCCTCTTAGGAATGTGTGGCCTGTTGCTCTGTCCGGGTGGCGTACTGAAGCTGATTTGGAACATTTCTCTCACTGGGTTGCTCCTCCAAGTGGGCATTGGGAGGCCCGGGGTGAGACTTCTGGAGGCTGTGCAAGTCTTTGGGGAATCTGCGTTGGCGGACATGGGTTACCGGCCTGGGTGGGCCTGGAGGGACCTGGGGTCCATGGAAAGGCCTGCCCTTGGGTGGTTTCCCTATTGGAGGTTGGGGGCTTGGTTTTGGACCGATGCCCGCCTGCTGTTATGACTAGCCTGATCTTGGATCTGGGTGCAATGGCTCTAGGTTAATTAAGGTGGTGTGGAACGTACTTTATACATCATCCTTTATACATAATTTATTCATCATTCATACATCTCCCCTATAAGGGATCTAATGTCAGTAAAGTGGTGGAGGGAGGGCAGGGAGTGGCTTGTGCATGCAGCTTGACCTGAGTGTCTTAGTCAGCGAGCCCTTTGGAGCTTGCTGCTGCGCCCCAGTGGGACCTCTGTGCTGTAGCCACTGGGGTTTGGCCCCTCAGGAACTGGACCCCTTTGGGGTTTGGCCCCTCAGGAACTGGACCCCTTTGGGGTTTGGCCCCTCGGGGTCGGGCTACAGTTGCTCTCGTCTGCCCTTTACTGGTGGGTGCGGCCATCCCTGTGTCTGCCCTCCTTGTGTCCCAGTGATCAGGGGTGCTTTACATGTCTGTATTTCTAATAAAATAGTTCAACTCAAGGAATTCACATATTTTCTTACAATTTTCCCTTGTAAGTTAAACTTTAATCACAAAACACCTTAGGCCCTAAGCACCTAAGGTGAATAAATTGCTAAAAGTGGATTATTCTGAGTGCCTTAAGCAGAGTCTAAATCCAGTTGCAGCAGACTGACTGTTCTGCAGCAGGAAGGGTTAATATAGGTCAATAGGTCAATATAGGGACATTTTAAAGATTAACAATCGAAAAATTTTGAAAAAAACATAATAAAAAATTAATTAGTTAATGTGTGCAAACCATTGCAACACTGAAGAATTTAAACGGCATTTACTGCCTATAAAATCCTCACCATGATAAGTATTTTAAGATCACTCTAAAAAACTCAGTGTTTCATCCCTTTTACAGTTTTCTGGGAGTTTATTTCAGATTAGTGAAGCATGAGAACTAAAGGTCGCCTCTCCTTGCTGGTTCTGGTTCTGGGTACACAGAGTCCTGCCAGAAGATCTGAAAGGTCTGGGTGGCTGATACACTGACAACATTAATTTCATTTTTCTTTTATGAAATTAATTCAGAATTTAAACCTGTATCATATAATAACTGATGTTATCCATCCAAGATTTTGTACTTTTCTTGATTTACAAAATCCTGAAATTTAAATGTCAAAAAAAAGGAAAAACAGCTTAAAGGATCGGAAAAACATTTTCACCACTCACATAATATACTACATCGTTCTAAGGCAAGGAAAGTTTATTTATAGAGCACAATTCAGTTCAAAGACAATTAAAAGTGCTTTATGAAAATTGAGGTATAAAATAGAAGGAAAATAAAAGCAGAATTAAATCATATAAAGACATCATAAAACTTTAAACTAACAACACCTCAGTTAACAGTTTAACTTCAACAGTCAAAGGCTGTTTTAAAAAAATTTGGTTTTTAACTGTGACTTAAAAGAACTCAGGCTTTCAGCAGTTGTCCAGTCTTCTGGGAGTTTGTCCCAGATCAATGGAGCATAGGAACTAAATGCTGCTTCTCCGTGTTTGGTTCTAGTTCTGGGTGAACAGAGTAGGCTGGAACTAGAAGACCTGAGACCTGATCTGGGTGATACACTCACAACAAATCTGTTATGTATTGAGGTTCTGATCCATTCAGTGATTTATAGATTAACAGAAGGATTTTAAAGTCTATTCTCTGAGCTACAGGGAGCCAGTGGAAATATTTTAAAACCAGGCTGATTATGTTTCTCAGTTCTAGTGAGAATACAGGCAGCAGTGTTTCGGATGAACTGTCAGATGGACGTTTTAGGCAAACCATGAAGAAAACTTTCAAGTAATCAATTATAATAAAGATACATGCATGAATTAGGTTTTTCTAGATCCTTCTTAGACATTAGTCCTGTAACCCTGGAAATGTTCGTCAGGTGATAATAGGCCTTTATGTGCTTCTGAAGGTTCAGGTCTGAGTCCATCAGGACATCAATCAGTTTTTTTTTTAGCTGTAGTAGCTGAAAGCGTGTGCTAACTCTTATTCTATCCTCCTTTGGTCCAAAGATTATTACCTCTGTTTTTTTTTATTCAGTTTTCTAAGCTGCTACGTGTGTTTTTGGAATAAAACGATGTATGGAGGCAAAAATAAGAGTACTTCACCTTTAAAGCAAAGAGCAGAAGGCCCATCTGAGGATTTCTTCTCTGTAATCTCCCACCTCTGTCTTCCTGTTTAGTTCTACACGCAAGAACACGTGATTTACTTTATGTTTGTGTGTTTTTACTCGATAAAGATTCATTAATTCAGTTGATAACATTGTTGGAAGTCTGGCTCTTTGTGT